CATGACCCTGGGCCATCCCTGGCACTATACCTTCTGTTTTCCTGTTTCTGTTTCTATATAATACTGTCCTAACTTAGGATTGATGCGGGGATCCATTTTACTTTGTCCTGCTGCCATCCAGGACGACTGTTTTCTTATGAGTAAGCTCCCTCAATTAACCCAATTAACCCCAATAAAACCTATTTAATAACCAAACTGGTATGGGTTCCTCTTTCTTTGGTATCTCAGTATTCTCTCAGAGGGTATACCACACACAATTGGTATAATCAGTACAGAACAGATCTGGCCCCTTATATATGTGCAGTGATGATCTATCAGCGAGTATTAACTTCTACATTTTATAAGACAATAGGTCTCTTCATTAAAAATGGGTACTACAAAATAAGGCCACTGGTAAATTCCACTGAGAAAGAACAGAAATAATACCAGATGAAAAATAGTAAGTTTCTCATAAGAGTTTAAAATATGGTCTGTTTTAACAGTCTAAAATCTATTATCAGATTTTAGTAAAACCTCAAAAAAGAAAATGAGTTTGTACAAAAAGCCTACAAATTTAAAATTCCAAATTCCATGCAACGCTGGTAGAAATACTTCACTCCTTTTTCTCATCTCCCTACTCCTTGACATCAACCCCATTTTCTTCCTTTTACTCCAGTTTCTGATGAAAAGATGGCCTTGCTCCTCATCAAGAACAACCCTTCCAACGTGACCTCCATCACACCCCCAACCATGTTCTCTAGCAAATTCAGCCCACAATCATCATCATCTTCATTCTTTCTGTCTTTGGCTCTCTGTCTTGTTCCTTCTGCCTTATAATCATTTTATTTATATCTATTTGTTCTTTCCCTGTTGCCTATAAATGTACCCAAGACACCTCATCATTTAAAAAGAAATCACTAGATTCTATGGTTCCCTCCTAGCTATTATCCTACATCCCTTTCTCAAACTCCCTGGGGAGAAAAAAACTTTCTCTATTTTTTGCCTTCATTTCCTTTTTTCATATTCTCTTGTAAACTTGCAGCAATATGACTTCTGACCTAATCACTCAACTGAAACAGGCTTCTTCAAAGTTATCAAGGAACTCTTAATCATTAAATCTAATGATTGTTTCTCAATCCTCATCCTACTTCTCCTCTCTGTAGCATTTGACATTATTGGGCATACTCTCATACTGCATACTCTCTAGGTTTTTGTGACATGACATGGCTCTCTTCTGGTTGTCCTCTTCTTTGTTGGATCATCACTCATCTCATGTCCCCTGTTAGTATGGCCCCTAAGATTCTATCCTGAGCCCTTTGTCTCTTTTCTCTACACTATTTCACTTGGTGATTTAATCTGCTCCCATGAATTCAATTAACATCTCTATGGAGATTATCTATACATCAGGCCCTAGTCTCTTTCTAAATGAGGCCTTTCTTGTTCTCCTCAAATAATAGTGCCTTTTTCTCCAAGATTATCTTGTATCTGCTTTATATGGATTTTGAATATATCTATACATGTGCATATGTTCTTGAGGGCAGGGGTTATTTCAATTTTGTCTTTGTATCACCAGCATCTAGCATAGATCCCAGCACATAGTAGGCACTTAATAACTGATTGATCATTCCTTGAATCTAATTGATGATAGCTTATGAGCTATGAGAAAAAGAATCCCTACTCTAAACTAATTGTATACAGAAAATGTAATATTATGAAGGAAAAATAAAAGTTTTAGATTGTGCAATGCTGTATGACTAGAAAAGAAGTAGTCAACTTGGGGACAAAGGGCAGCAGAGGGAAAGGAGCCTGAATACTTCCAACTTTCTGTGTTCTTAAGGCACTCTTTCAAGACAAATGGGTTACAAAAGGAATGTTTTCACATAGGAATAAAGAGTTGTCCAGCTGCTAACTGATGATTGGTCAGGTTTCTTATACAATAATATAATGAGAACATTGTATGAGGAACAGTGGTATGGTGGACAGATCACAGGACTAGGGAGTCAGAAAAGACTTGGGTTTGAATTTAGTGTCATATGTATTCAAAGTGTAATTTTCAGTAAGTCATTTAACCTCTCTGAGCTTCAGTTACCCCACCTGAACAATAGAAATAACAAGAATATTGTTGTTCAGTAATTTTTCAGTCACGTCCAACTCTCTGCAATCTCACTTGGGGTTTTCTTGGCAAAGATACTGAAGTGGTTTGCCATTTCCTTCTCCTGTTCATTTTACAGATGAGGAAACTGAGGCAAACAGGGTTAAATGACTTGTCTAGGGTCACATAGGCTAGATTTGAACTCAAGACATGAGTCTTCCTGACTTTAGGCCTGGCACTTTAGCCACTGTGCCACCTAGCTGTCTTGTGACAATAACAGTACCTACCTCAGAATGAATGAAATAATGTGTCACACATTCTGAAAACCTTAAAATTTTATCTAAATGTGAGGTGTTATGATGACCTAAATTGACTTCTATTTAAGAGAATTAGGTAAGAAAATTAGCCAAAGTCAAGTGAGAATGTTTATATTTTACTCTGATAGCTTTTCTTGATTTGGAGACTAATTTCTATTTAAAAAGAAATTGATACTTCTGCAGATATCTTCCAATCTGAATAGGAAAAAAATAATCTGTTTATTGGCATTTGTCACTCAGGTAAGTTTTGAGGAGCTGTGAGAAAACAATACATAAGTATAAAATTAATCATTAAGGCCATTCCTTACCATTTTTACTCCCTTGGTTCTATCTATAACCCCACAGACAATATCAACATGCTCTGTGCACATGTTCAATACTTTGGGATCCGGGTTGGATATAGTTGTAAAGTGAAACTTAGAAAACTGCAAAACTTAATCAGCAGCCATGTTCCTCAGAAGCCCTTGCCCCTCTCAGCCCATTTCACCATTTCATCAATTCTATTTTTAATGGATCCTCTTACTCAAGCCCTTAAGTCAATCAACTGAATTCTCTTCATTTTGATCGTTTCCTATCTGCCAAAATTTTCAGCTAGACCTAAAACAAAACAAATTGCAAAGATAATTACAGTAAACATCACAGTAGAATTCAAGCAGGTGCTGTCTTATTTTTGTCTCTGAATCCTTAGCAATTAGCATAGAGCCCTACACAAAGTGATAATGAATTTTGAATGGAATCGATTCATAAAAGACATCCAGTGGGGCTTTTGAAGTCTTCCCTGTAGAAGACAGATGCACCAGTGCTATTACTTAATGTGAGAAGTGCAAAAATTGCCTATTTCATTATGGCAGATTGAAACCTATTTTGACTTTGCTCAGTTCAAATGATCAGTAGTGTCCTAACCCTTCCAAAGCAGAAAAAAAGAACATTATTCTGAGATAATTTACTGTTAGGGAAATTTCAACTATTACCTTAGAAACCAGAACTCTGTCCTGCCTGTGAATTTTGGCATATTATTTTCATGTGTGTGATTTGTCCTTGAGCTCTTAGCACAAAATTCAGGGTCTCAGCTAAAACTAGACTAATCCCCATCTGGATATAAAACAGAAACTTTCGCAACTTCGTAAGCAAGGTGGCTATCATGATCTGTTTTCTTGTTCAACTTTCTGCTACCATGAATAAAATAATTAGATTATTTGTTTCTGGGTGGAGAGAATACTTAAGACTCTCCACTGGAAATTTCACTTTTTTCACACCAGGGTGCTATACAAGGAATAGCAGGAAACAGTAGTTTGCAAAGCCTATTTCTGGTGATCTTTGCTATACAGCTGAATTTTACAGATTCCCTTAATTATTTTTCAATGGTTTCTTTAAAGAGTAGAGGGTATTAAAGACATCTTGTAATTGCTCTAGAGGAATATGTTTAGAATCACTGAATATCAGGCAAGAGATGATCCTGGAAATTATCTAGCCCAATTCTTTCATTTTATATGTGAGGAAAATGAAGCCCAGAGAATTGGAAGGACTTCTCATAGCAATACCACTGGTTAGAACCTAGAACTAAGGCAGTTTCACTCCCACTCCACTGTTATTTGCATTACACCACGAGGCCATCCTCTGTTTGAAGAAAAAACCATGATAGCCTAGATGTGATACATTGGCTTTTATAGAACTTTTTTTCTCTTTTCTTCATCTACCTATTCTTTTTGCTTTATAATTCAGTCAAATTCACTGCTCTGATCATATCACTGCCTTGCTCAAAAAACTTCCAAAGGTCTCAGACTGCACATAAAAAATTATCCTGACATTAGCTGTGTATTCAAGGCTCTCCATAATCTGGCTCCAACGTGTCCTGGTCTTCTTGTCCCCAGAAGGCAAAATTAGGGGAAAAGGGTAGAAATTATAAAGAGGAAATTTGGACTTGAATTAGGTAGAAGGTTCCTAATAGTTGGAATTATACAAAAGGGCCGTGGGCTGTCCTGGGAGGTGGTAGCTTCCCAATTACTACTGGTCTTCAGGCAAAGTCTGGATGACCAGTTTTTGGATATGTCATAGTTGGATGCTTTTCAGGTATAGGTCCAAGGTTCCTCTTCTGTCTCTGAGACTGTGATTTTATAATACAGTTCAAGCCTTATCTAACCCTGCTCCCTTCTATGATCAGGCCAAAATGGACTCCTTATTGTCTTCTCCATCCATCTTACCTTCTCCCATCTCCTTGCCTCACATTATTCCCTCTCTCTGGGATGGACTTTCTTTTCCTGCCCAGTATTCTTACCCAACATTTCTTGAAATCCTAAGAGTGGGTCAACCCCTTCCTTGAAACCTTAGCGGAGTTCATTACATTGAAGAGATCTCTTACTCCACAGATTTCTCATAGCAATTTCTTTTGGCATCTCCTTTAAAATTATCACATTCTGTTTTATATTTATTCTTATATACTTACTGGTAAGCATTTCTTCCCTGCCACCCCATAGTCATTATGTCTCATATTTTATTATTCTTAGTACAATGCTTTGTACATAGAAGTGTTTTGTTTGTTATATTGCATTGAAAAATCCAAAATGATTCCATGTTTCAGTTCAATTTAGTATTTACCAAAGATTTGAAAACACCAGATCATCTGAAACTTTGTTCCTCTCTAGATCAGTAATGCTTTTTTCAAATAGGTTTAGAAGCCACATTTTGGATTTTGACCAGTTTCTGTGGGTGATAAGAGCAGTTAGAAATTCATTTGAAAGGCATTTTTGACGTAGCTAGCACTATGATCAAAAAACATAAAATAAGGTGCTATATTGCTGTGAAAGTTATTTCCATGAGTTCCTTTTTCAGATCAAGCTAGAATTCCATACACTTGAACACATATTCATAAATAGAAAGGGAAAGGGGGGAGGGATGATGTTGTCTTAGCATGTTTTGAAAATTAACACTTAAATCCTTGTAATATTAACTTTGATGAAAGAAACAGTTTCTTATAAAGTGTCCTGTCCAATTCCATTCATTGACTTTTAGGAAAGAGTCTATATTATATCTCATAAGTACCATTGAAACTTGGGGAGATGAAACAAACCCATGACTAGACAATGGATGGACAGAGCTTTTTCAAAAGAAACAGGATAGGTAAAAAGGTAGGTATGTTAATAAGGTATACACATATGAGAAAATCCAGGAATCAGAGTGGAAAAATATAATATTTGAGTGGATGAAGGAGGAAGAAATACATTATTTTTGTCATTGGAGTACACCTAGTACACCATCAGGACAGAAAGAGAACATAGTTAAGGATTTTGGAAAACATATCACAAGCCTGGGACAGAGGCATGATGTGACAGGCATGGTAACCTTCAATTATCTAGACATCTACTGGAGTTTTCAGCCAAAAGCAGAACAGTTAAAACAGTTAATAACTTCTTGACTTGCCTTAGCAAAAATTTCATCCTTCAAAAGGTGGAGGAATCAACAAAGGGAAGTTCCATTTTGGAACTGATTCTCAATACTAGGAAGAACTGGTGATAAGGATGGAAATGATGGGAACCCTACAGGAAAGTGACCACTCTGTCTTGGAGTTTGTGCTAAGAAAGGAAAATGACTCTATCCACAATATGAACACATCCTAGACTTGGGGAAAACAGATTCCAAAGGATTCAGAGGAAAGACAGTTAAGATCTCATGGACCAAAATGCTTCAAGGAAAATCAGCCCAGAACATATAAGAGATTCTGAAGAATTAAATTGTGAAAGAACAAAGAGGAAATAATTTTAATGAGGAGGAAAAATGGAATTTGCCTGGAGAGTCTCAAGTGGATACACAGGGAACTCACCAATCAATTTAGATTTTCAAAAGAAAGGACAGTAGATGAAAACAAAAGGATGAAGATAAATCTTGTGGGTAACAAGATGAATAGGAGTCTTGTAAAAATAATGTCAGAGGGAGCAGCTAGGTGATGCAGTGGATAGAGCACCAGCCCTGGATTCAGGAGGACCTGAGTTCAAATCCGGCCTCAGACACATAACACTTACTAACTGTGTGACCCTAAGCAAGTCATTTAACCCCATTGCCTAGCCAAAAAACAAAAACAAAAAGAAAAATAATGTCAGAAACACTAAAATTTAGAATGAACAGGCTAGAGAAGAAACCTAAGACCAATTGAAAGGGGAAAGGTTTTTTTACCTATGTAGGAAAAAGGAAGATGCAAGAAAGGTTAGCCCTTTGCTCTAGGTAGATAGAAATATAACTTAAAACAGAAGAGGAGAAACACATCCATTTTTACTTTCTTTTCTTCTATGCAAAGGTGAAATGAACCATGTACTGATAATGGTAGAATGAAAAAGGATACACAGGGAGTTGACATGAGAGATATGGAAGCATATGGTAAGAGAGAAACCAGCTTCCATGGATGATTCAAATTCCCTGGCCCAGATGAATAACATCTTCAGATCCTGAGAGAACTGGCAAATGTAATTGTTGGGCCCCTGGCAGTGATGTCTGAAAGATCATGGGAAACATTAGTGGCTCCATGAGATTACAGAAGGGGAAAAGTTTGCCTTATTTTTTTTAAAAGGGAAGATAATTGAGTCTATAATCTGAAGGTCAATGAACTTGACTTCCATTCCTGGGGAAATGCTAGAACACACCATTAAAGAGATAGCTGGCAGACATCCAGAAAGGGACCTGGGGATTACAAAGAGTCAAAATGACTTCATCAAGAACAGGTCATGCCAGATTAACTCCATTTTTTTCCCCCAAAAGAATCACTAAATCAGTAGAGAGGAATGTTGCAGATATAGTTTAGAAACTTTTACTGAAGCTTTTGCTAAAATACCTTTAATTATTTGTGTAGATAGATATGGATTAGGTGATAATACAATTGGATGGATCCAGACCTGGTGGGATGAGCAAACTCAAAGGACAGTGTTGTTAACGGTGCCACATCACTGTGAATGAAGCTTTCCAATAGAGTACACCAGGGATCTGTGCTTGGCCTTTAACTGTTTGACTCTTTTATCAAATACTTGGATAAAATTATGTAGTATATGCTACATTCATCAAATTTGCAGATGACATAAATCTGGGAGCATAAGATAATAAACCACATGACAGAGTCAGGATCTAAAAAGATTTTGACATTCTAGAGTAGTTATGTTAAACTCAAGCAGAAAGAGATAACTGGGGAACACATATTGACTTAGAAAACTGCCAATTAGCACTATCTATACTTGGTGGTTGTTTCGGTCATGTCAGACCCTTCATGACCTCATTTGGTATCTTCTTGGGAAAGATACTAGAGTGGTTTGCCATTTCCTTCTCTAGTTCATTTTACAGATAAAGAACTGAGGCAAACAGGGTTAAGTGACTTGCCCAAGGTCACATAGCTAGTAAGTCTCTGAGGCCAGATTTGAACTCAGGAAGGTAAGTCTGACTTTGGGCCCGACACACTATCCACTGTGCCATCTAGCTGCCCATCTATATTTTACTGCAGCTTTATTTATTTTGTTAGACATTTTTTCAATTACATTGTAATCTAGTTTGGGCTGCATTCAGGAGTTTTAAGGAGTCTATCTGGCCCCCAGCTGCAAGTCTGACCATCCATTCTGTATTGGGCACAAAAGTCAACATCTTGAGTATAAGATGGGGAGATATGGATAGATAGATAGATGGTGTTCTCAAAAACATGTGATTATTTTAGTGGCCTGCAAGCTCAAAAGCTGATGAAAATAAATTGCATGAAGAAAGACAAAGTTCCCAGGAAAAGAGAGGTGAAAATCACCAATAAGAAACTAGATAACCTCTTTTTGGGTATGGCATATTATGGATAGCTTTGATAAATGGGTTGAAATTAATGGCCAATGAAGTCTGTTCCAACTTTCAATTTCTGTAATCCTATGAAAGATCCCAAAATGATCTAGAGCATGCCTAAATTACCCTCTTTGCAAACTTAACCCACTATTTCTGGTTCTGTTCTTCTGAGGTCAGACCAAACTAGACTAATTCCTCCTTTAACATGACATCCTTGGCTCTGATTCTTAGAATCTAGCCAATAGCTCATAGATGCTCAGATTCCTTAAGAGTCTGGCCAATATGGCGAATCTTCAATAAACCTTGTCTTTGGCTGAAAGAAGGCTTGGGTTGAATTCTTTCAGGCAGAATCCTTGTGTCTCAAGACCCCTGAACCTCTAAACCACATTATTTTGGTGGCCCATTCGGGGAAACTGCCTAACCCCAAGTTCTTCTCCAGCCAAGACTGGAAGACTACAGGCCATTCACCTACAGTTGGTACCAAACAATGGGTACCAGCCAATGTCCCCCCTCATTCCCTGGATGCAGCCTGTGCTTGGTTCCAGTCAACCTCCTCTTTGGGACCCCCTGGAGGCAGGGACAGCTCTACACCCCTTGCCAGCAGGAAGCAGTTTCAGAAGCTGAGACCTTTGCCCCTTACCCCAAAAGAATTTGGGTTCCTATTTTTTGAGGGGGGAATGATGGGGTTGGGATCTGGGCCCCAGAAATGAAAATTCCTGGACTTTCTCACATGGCCAAATCTCTGGCATTTGCCTGAGGCTATAATCCCATCAACTGACCTTTCATTGTGGCCACCCCAATCTCCCCTCCATTGTCTTGTCTCCCTATGGCCCCAGGCCACTTCCCCACCCTTGGTCCTATCTAGGCTCCATTTCCCGGGAGTTCTATTACCTCATAGACTACTTGGCCATTCCTTGATCCCTCCCATAGTCTTTCTGTATATAAGGTCCATCTTGTCTCCATTAAGATGCTCAGATTCTTAGAACCTAGCCAATGCTGGATTCTTATAACCTAGCCACTGTTTACTCATGTTCAGACTCTTGTTTGGAGTCTGCCCAATATGATGGATGTTCTAATAAACCTTGTCTTTGGCTGAAAAAAACAAACAAACCATGACATCCTTTCAAATTATTGAAGAGAGAGATATTATGTCCCCACCAAGTCTTCTCTTCTCCAGGCTAAACATGTCCAATTCCTTCAACCAATCTTCAAATGACTGTGTTTCAAGAATCTTTACCATTCTGGTTGTCCCATTCTGGACATTCTCCAACTTGTCAGTCTCCTTGAATTATGTAACCAGAACAAATACAATACTCCAGGTGAGGTCTGGTGATGGAAGAATATGGGAAGCAATGGATGGAATCTGCCAAGAAGGCAATTTAGACTTGATGTCAAGAAAGACTTCCTAATAATTGAGTTCTACCTCAAACATATGGGCTACCTCAAGAGGTGGTGAGTTCCCTCCCCTTAGAGGTTTTCAAGCTTCCACTGATGAGTGGATAACCACTTGCCTAATATAGTATATTGGCTATACTTCTATTAGGAGCAGAAATTAATGATGGATGAGGTGCTTTCCAACTTTCAAATTCTGTGATTTTATGAAAGATCACAAAATAATTTGGCAAAATATGTGAGAATAAGTATCATTACACAGGGAACAATTACTACTAAGTAGAGGTGAATGGAAGAAAATATTATATAAATTAATAGAGAAGAAAAAATATATTTACTTTCTTTAGGGGGACAGGAGCAGGAGAGGGAGAGGAAAGTTGATTGTCCTGAATTCAGAAATTGTCGAAACATTAATATTAAATAATTTTCTCCTTTATCCATTTTATTTTGTGAAAAATGAACCACTGACCTAAGCCAGCTTACTTTATTTCTCAGAAAAGAGTAAGGACAACATCTGGTTCTCATTGTTTTAATAGTTGGTCTCTGTAACTAAGGCATAATGGGATTTTTATCTCTAAAGCTGATAGTGAACTGTGAATGAAGGAGAAAAAGGTAACAAAATATTAACATACCATTTCCTTTCTTCCCTCACCACTTCTTTGCACGTTAAAGTTAAAAATTACAAAGAAATATCTTTGTTCTCAATGTACTTAAAATCTTGCCCAAAATATCATATGGCCTCTAAGTTTTTCTTCATTGCACTCATCCTTTCCTTATTAGGGCCAAATGAATAGAATTGTGTCCATGAATGAGTTTCATAAAATGACTCTCCACCTTAAAAAACATCCTGGCATCTGACCTCCATTTTGAAAACCATCATCATAAATCTGAAAATGTTTGAGGAATTCTTGAATATCCTCCTGGGTTGTTGGATATAAGCCTTTGCCAAAAATAATATTCACTGTGACAGGACACAGGACATGCCTAGGGGAAAAAAAAAACAAATCAATCATAGGATCATAGGTTCATGGTTATAGAATTGGAAGGGACCTCTAAGGCCAACTAACAAAGCAGTCAAAGAATAAGTATTTCTTCATTTATTTACTTAATAAGCATTTATTATTCTCTAAGCACTTCCTATATGCTAGGCATTATGCTAGTGTGGAAAACACAAAAGAATGGCCCCTGCTCTCAAGGAGGAAAATGCTCCTTATTAGAACCAAATGCTATTCTAGGTCCAAAGAAAAAAAATATTCACACCTTTCTATGAAGGAATATATACTATAATAATTTCATCTTTATATAAATAATGACAAATCTAAAACAAATTGTACTGAGAGAGAAAAGTACCCTCAAGTTGCTTTAACATTTTCTTGCTCAGGTAAAAGGGGCTTTAATGGTAGCTAGGTGGCACAGAGGATAGAGTGCCAGGCCTGGAGTCAGGAAGACTTAATCTTTCTGAGTTCAAATCCTCCCTCAGATACTTAGTAGCTGTGTGACCCTGGGCAAGTAACTTGCCTAGTTCCTCATCTGTAAAATGAGCTGGAGAAGATTTTGAAATGGCAAATCTCTCTAGCATCTTTGCCAAGAAAACCCCAAAATGAGGTTATGGAGTCAGACATAACTGACAAACGACCAAAAAACAAAATCTGAGATCTGAGATAGGGTCTACCCAATCTCTAAGAGAGGCTATGATTTCTGCTTTTGTAGAGAGTAGGAAAAGGGTGTGCCCCATCAATGTAGGGAAATCTCTCCATCTCTCCTTCACTCACCATTTTCCAAGATGGGTATCAGACTAGAATTACATCTACAATATTTCTAGGGCAGCTAGATGCCACAGTGGATAGAGTGCCAGGCTTAGAGTCAGGAAGACTCATCCTCGTGAGTTCAAATCTGTCCTCAGACACTTACTAGCTATGTGTCCCTGGGCAAGTCACTTCACCCGTTTTGCCTCAGTTTACTCACCTGTAAAATGAGCTGGAGAAAGAAATGGCAAACCACTCTAGTATCTCTGCCAAGAAAACCCCAAATGAGGTTATGAAGAGTCAGACATGACTGAAATAAATGAACAATATATCCCTGAGGATCACAAATGGAAAACTAGAAGAGATCATAGCAATTACCTTATCCAGCTCCTTCATTTAATAGAGGAAACCGGGGTTAGACAGATTATGTAAATTCCCTATGGTCACACAGAAACTAAGTGGCAGAGGGAAGGATTTGACTCTAAACCCAGAACTCATACCACTGTATTATGCTGCCTTCTCTATCCTGATTTCTGCTTCACAATCCTTATTTTTGGCTTCTCATCTCAAACTCTTTTTTCTAATCAAGTTACCCAATGCTACCTATAGCAGATGATTTAGACTCTTAATTACACTATCCCTATATTCTTCTCCCCAGTCTTTAAAACCCAATATCATTACCATCGACCATCTGTTCGCTCCTCTCTTCCTCTCCCCTCTCCCTCCCTCCCTCTCTCTCTCTCCCTCTCTCTCATTTGTGCCAAAGGAGAAAGTATGTCTAACATTTTCCTTGCTAAGGTAATCCCTTCTATCCACACTCTTGAGTTAATGGGGGCTTGAACTAGGGTGGTGGCAGCAGAAAGAAAAAGGAGTGAGTAAATGCAAGCTGCATAAAAAACCATAACCAAAATACTGACTTGGTGGACTTGGTGACTGATTGATTTGTGAGGATGGGGAATGGGGAAGAAGCAATTAAGTTCTAACCTTTTATCTCAACTCCAGATTTGGTAAAAAAACAAAAAAAAACAAAAAAAAACAAAAAAAAAACAACACCTTGAAACTCTTCACCTTTAGCTTTTGTGCTAACTTCATTATTTTCAATTTAAAAAAATTGTGAAGTATATTAACTAACAACAATTTTCCTTAATGAACCCCTTACTTTTATTTCTTTTTTTTCAAGTGTCTTTATATATTATTTTAGTTAACTTGAACTGGTTTGCACCTTCAATCAGAATTTAAAAATTCAGAGAGCTCCCATTTATACCCCTTAATAATGTGACTTTCAAAATGTGGTCAGGTCTACCTAGAGAATAAGTTTAATTGCTAAGATGGTTATTTGGCTTTTCCACCTATCAAAGTAAGAGTCCTGAATTATATATGTATAGGTTTAGAAAACGATATTATTCAATAAACTTAAAATGACTCAGCCGATCCTTTAATGACCACATCTGAAGACAGACTTTTGACTTCCTTACCTGATAACTCAGTGAATTGCTGAATCCTATAAATAAGCCTGATCCATATTTGGCAGATGCTCATGATTCAATGACACAGCTTTCCTTTAAAGGAAAGATCAAAGCAAATAAATTCAATTTAGGGTAGTTCCATTGCTTCAAGGCCTTAAAATTGATGCATTGCATAGTTAACAGCTATTTGAGAGTCAAAGGACAGAGTAAGCTAGCTACGAATATGAAAAGTGTTTTCTTGATTCCTGTGCTGGCAGCTGGATTCCCAGCTTTATGCTGATGCCTATAATTTTTTGGGGGTGAGGAGAAAGGGAGGGTGAGAGAGGTAGAAGGGAGTAAACCAAAGGAATACATTAGGGATTAGAGTTCTTGACATAAGATTCCATCACCTAATACATACTATGAGTTTAGTGAATGATGAGAATGGTCTCAATGCCAGTACAAAGAAAGACAGAGGTACAACTCTTTTCAACGATAAGAAACCACTAGTCGAAGAACCGTAAAGTGAAATATATTTAATATGATTTAGTGCGGAAAGTATTGGTTTTAAAGTCATATGATATCAATTCAAATCCTGATTCTGATAAGGACTACCTATGTGACACTGGGCAAGTCACTTTGCATCACTGGCTTGGAACTTTAACTGCTATAACACCTTTTATAACCCCTAGGCTTGGTAGTTCTATGTCCCTGCTAATAATGTATACATTATATACGATAGTATATATTATATACTATATTATGTATATACTATATTATATATAATAATGTAAACATTAAATACAATGTTTCCTATTTAAGAGTTCTATCATTTTAAGTATTAAACTTACCATAGTTGTAAATAGAGATATCCCTTGCCAGAACACACACACACACACACACACACACACACACACACACACACACAGCAGCTATTTTGTTAAATAGAGGCCTTTTTTCTTCCTTATTATAATCTTTGTGAAAGGTTATCTCCCCCCTTCACCCACCTACCATCCTCATCTCTATCTATATCATCATTCATATGGAGAATACAAATTATAATTTTTGTTTTCTTCATACTTATGTAATTTCACTATTTTGCCTACTCAAGGATTGAGAATATCTTTTCCTGTCTCCAAAATTGTGATAATGCTCAGATCAGTACAAGTGTAGTAGGTTTTTTTTTGTAGCATTCTGTTCTTAAAAATGACAGATCTCCATATACTATGCATAAATATAAAGGCTAAGCTCCCATCCTACTCTCACCATATAATTCAACTGATTATTGCCCTAGGATCCTTGGGAACTAGAAAAACAGAAACATTTCTAATGTTTGTCAGAGAAAAGAGTCTTTTAGTATATAAAAGAAAAAGTTGCAAGCCATCTTGGGTAGGGAGTCTTTTTTATTTAAATTTAAATTTCTCAATGTACAAAAATTAATTCTCTTTGAAAAAAAGAAAAACATGATAAATACATATAGTTAAGCAAACAAATTCTACAATTGGCCAAGTCCAAAAGTTATGTTTTCAGCTACTGTGGCAATCTGTTTTGCTTGATTATACATGTTTGCAATAGATTTTGTTTTTCTTACTTTCTCAATGGGAGGAAAGAAAAGGTGGGAAGGAGAAAATTTGGAGATGAAAATAAAACAAAATTGAATTTAAAAAGTTATGTTTCATTCTGTACCCTGAGTCCATCTTCTTTCTGTCAAGAGTTGAATAACATGAGTCATGATCATTCCTTGTAATTTTGGTTGGTCATTATATTGATCAGATTTCTTAAGTCTTTCAAAGCTGTTTCCTTTACAAAGCTGTTATTCTATAAATTGTTCTGCTGGTTTTGCTCACTTCATTCTGCATCACCTCATTTAAGTTTTCTCAGGTTTCTCTAAAACCATCCCTCTTGACATTAGTTGTGGTGCAGGGGGCCATCTCCAGTTGTCCTGATCTATATCTGGCCACTGGACCTAGATGTATCTGGAGGAGAAAGTGAGGCTGGTGTCTTTGCACAGCCCTCCCTCACTTAAATCCAATTCACTTGCAAGTCATGGCATCACCTTCTTGATGTCATGATCCTCTTCATGAACAAAGTACAAACAACAACAAGAGTTATAGCAAAATAATATTCCATTGGACAGCTAGGTGGTGCAATGGATAGAGCACTGGGCTTGGAATCAGGAAAACTCACCTGCATGAGTTCAAATTCAGCCTCAGACACTTACTGTGTAACCCTAGACAAGTCATTTAACTCTGTTTGCCTCAGTTCCTCATCTGTAGAATAAGTGGAAGAAGGAAATGGCAAACCACTCCAGTATCTTTGCCAAGAACACCCCAAAGTGAGGTCACAAAGAATCGGACATAACTGAAATGACCAAACAACAACAAATATTCCATTAAATTCATAATACCACCTAGTAAGTTTTGGGGTCATATTGTCCTACAGAATGGCTGGACCAATTCACAGCTCCAGCCATCAGGACATTATACATGGTGGGGGCAGGGTAGAGTTTTGAACAGGTCTTTGTGCTGCCAGACAGTTGATGTAAACACATCTCCCTTCTCCAATCATAATTTGGGGAGCTATTACTCCTAACTTCCTCTACTTCCCTTTCCCCTGTGGGTGATTAAGACTACAACCCTCTGCAATTTCAGAAAGCTGATGGAGAACCAGTTCAAAACACAGACTTGAGTATCTCATTTTATCTACACCTGTCATGAGACTTCTACTGGCTACAAAGAATATGCCTCAAAAACCCTCTAGATTAGTTAAGTTTTGTCTGTGGCTAGTTTCTACCCTGGGTGTAGTGGTGACTTTATTATAAATCACTCTTTTAGAGGGTAGCTGCAAGTAAATGTAAGAAATAAGGTGAATAGAAGGTGCTGATTAATTCTTCTCTTCAATCCAAGAGTGACTCTGATTCATTTGTAGCAGGGCACTAAAAAAACAGGTCCTCAGTTTCTTCATTTGTAAAATGAGTGGGTTGGAAAAGCTGGTCTCTAACTTTCCATATTAAGCTCCTTTCTGCTCTAAATCCTATTGAGTCTATGAAAATCATAATATTTTAGCTATAAGTACTGTAGAACAAATCATCTCATCGCTAACACATAATTATTGGACACTATGTGCAGATAAGTCAGGTTTGTCATATGACTTCTTTTCCTGAGGAAAGACAAGGATAAATTGAGAGAAACAGAGTAAATGGTGGATCCATGAAGAATATCCAGTGGGCACCAAAGAAATTATATCAAGCTGAGTATGCATTTTTATTTAGCTTATTTATGATTCATAGCTGTGTGGGTTTTTTCTCATTCTACCCTGGTGCATTAGGAAAGCAGATCTCAATAGGAATGTTCTATTGGGAAGAACGGGAGTGGGGAGGGAAAGAACCTTCAGAAAATTTCCAGTACTAGGAAGAACTAAATATTTCTCAATTGCATATGTCACAGAATATTAGGATCAAGACAAGCAGAGCTCTGTGGATGACTACACATTTTTTATAATTTTTAAAAAAATTTTAAACAAATACAAAATTAGAAAAAAAAATTAAAAAAAAACATTACCATGTACACAGCAGATCATATGACAGAATTTAATATAAAACAATAAATTTCCATTCCAAGAAAACCTATGAAATAAATACTACACATTGTTTTCAAAGCTGCTCAGCTTTCCTTTGCTTCCTTGTTGGTTTTCTTTCGTTCTCCGCTGTGCACTTTTTGCTTTGTTTTTTCCCCTCCCTCCCCATCCCCACCCATAGGAAGGCTACAACGAAGCATGGAGACATTTACATATATACATATATGTATGGTCTTACATGTATGAGTTTATATGTGTATGTTTATAGATATCTATGTATATGTTTATATGTGTGTGTGTGTGTGTCTAAAATGCTTATTTCTTCCTATCATCTGTTTCTCTGAAGGTAGACAGCATCTTCCTTCAGAAGTCCAAGTCTTTCCATGTTTTTCTAAATCAGCCAGTTCATAATTTCCTACACCACTGCAATATTCCAATCCAATCACATCCTATCTGAGAGACTGTCTATGAATGTTTTTCCCCAATTTTCAGCATTCCTTGTACTCTTGGCTATGTAGGTTTTATTTATACAAGAAAATTATAATTTAAAATAATCAAAATTATTCTTTTTACATTTTAACAATGTTATCACCTTATAATATAGTTTAAGGTCTACAGATACTGCTGAATCTACTGCCTTTACATCTTTTTTCCCGGTTTATTTGAAGTTCCTGACCTTTCATTCTTCATATGAACTTTGTTACTATTTTTTTTTTAATTCGGTAAAAAAGTTTTTAGTAATTTAATTGGGATGACTGAACAAATAGATTAATTAGGTAAAACTATCATTTAAAAATTATATTGACTTTACCTACCCATGAACATAAATTTACTTCAATTATTTAAATCTGAGATTATTTGCATAAAAAGTGTTTTATATTTGTGTTCACGTAGTTCCTATGTCTGTTTTGGCAGGTATACGCTCAGGTATTTTATACTGTCTAGGGATTTTCAATGGTCTAAAACAATATTGAATAATATTGCTGACATGGAGCAGTTTCTCTATTTTTCACTTTTGATTAAATCTATTTTAACTTTAACTTTGTCTGAGATCATGATTACTATTCCTGCTTTTTTACATACCAAATTCTACTCCAACCCTTTATTTCATCTTTATGTGTATCTCTCATTTTTATGTTTCCTGAAAGTAACATATTATTGAATTCAAATTTTTGATCTGCTATCCATTTCCATTTTATGAGTAAATCCATCCCATTCACATTCTAAGCTACTATTACTTCTTGTGTATTTTCCTCCTTCCTATTTTTCCTCACTATCCTTCTCACCCTATCTACCCTATCCCTCTTGACTCCTGTTATTTGCTTCTACCCACTATCTTACCCTCCTATTTCTTAACCTACTCACTCCTCTCTAAGAGTCCCTCCCTTATCCTCTCCCCCTACCCTATCCCCTTGCCCTCTTACTTTTTTCTGAATTTAGAAGATTTTTATACCCTTCTAGATATATATGTGGTTCCCTCTTTAACCCATTCCCAATGACAGTAAGATTCCAGTACTACTCGCCCTATCTCCACTAGCTTCTTTTGTGTCAATTTTTCCTCTTATGCCTTATTTGAATGAGAGAATAACTCCTTTTTATCTCTCCCTACACAGTTTTATTTTTTTTTAGAATCACCCCTTAATATTCAGCTCAGCCCATGCCTTTCTTTCAAACTATCCAAAAAATGATGGCAAACATAAGAGTACTGGTGGTGGCTACACTTCTTGATGAGCACATGAATATGTTTATATCCAATATTTCTTTTACTATAAATTGTAGTTAAGGAAGTTCCATGCAAAGTAAATAACTATGATGTAATACTACTGTGCTGTAATGAAATGATGAGCTGGCTGATTTTAGGAAAGACTTGCATTAAATAAGGAAGAGTGAAATGAGCAGAACTAAGAGATCATTGGATACAGTAATAGCAATACTGTTCAAAGGATAACTGTGAATGACTAAGTTATGAGTATTATACATGCTCAAATCAACTACAAAGGACCTATGAATGAAGATGCTATCTACCTCCAGAGAAAGAATTGATAAACAGAAGTATGCATAATATGGTTTTATATACACACACACACACACACACACACACACACACACACACACTTGTGTGTGTATGTCAAATGGTGGCTTTCTCTACTGTGGGGTGGGAAGGGAGACTAATTTTTTTTAAAAAGTAAATAAATAAAAATAGAGAAGTGAATGGATGAATAAATAAATAATAGATAACTAGACACATAAATGAATGAATGAGTAAAAAATCAGCATATCCAAAGTATAGTTTTATGCCTTCCACATCACGGGGGTTAGGGGCACAATGCCCCCACAACCTGGAAAATGTGTGTAAAGTTTTTTGACCTTCCCTTCATAACAGAGAAGTAGTCTGATTTTTTTTTCTTTTTCTTTTATGGAGTGTTTATAGTATCCTATTATAAAATTTGGGTTGATATTATACAATACTAGACATATTTTATGCATTTCTAAGTTTCTAAACTTTTTCTTATATACCCTTTTTCTTATATACCCTTACAAATTATTAAAAATAAGAAGTTAGCAAGGAAAGCAACCCCATTTCTTTTCCAATACCCTTTTCTGTGTTTTCAGATAACACATGGGAATTCCAACAGTACTTTCAAAAGTCATTATCCCCATTAGATTGTAAACTCCTTGATGGAAGGGACTGTCTTTTAACTCTTTTTGTCCACCTAGAATTTATTACAATTTCTGGAATGCAACAAGCATTTAATAAATGCTTACTGACTTTAAACTCTCCAAAAATCCCCATTTAATTTCTTATGCCGACCCATAACATATCAAACCCGCAATAAGGAAAGTCGCAATGTGGAAGGGATAACTGTACACAAACTCTTACAATCAGGAAGTTTTTCTTAATGTCAAACTTACATACCTATTTTTTAACTAGAAAATTTGGAAATTAAATACTTTATTTACCTTACTAAGTTGTAGAGATTTTTGCTTCCATCAGTGCCCAAATTTTCCAGTTGTTCATGTAATCCTTCTACCAGCTTTTCATTAAACTGATATAGAGTAGAAATCTTCATTTTGTTTTTCATCGTGCCATATAATAGACCATGGAATGTTAAAAAGGTGCTCTTTGGAACTGATACCATAAACAGAAAATTATTTTAAATTACAAATGTCTGTTTTAAACATATAAAAAATATATAATTCATAACTAGAATTTGAATATCCATGGCAAGGAAGAAAGCAGTATTTTAGATATCCAGAAAACAACGAAGAAATGTTTGGAATTTATTATATAATCTTTCTTTTTTTTATTTATTTATTTATTTATTCATTCATTTATTTATTATATAATCTTTTTTATTTATTTATTATAGAATCTTTTTTCCTTCCTAACCATGCTTTGTTTAGCACAATATTGAATATAGTAGGCATCTGACAAAATTCTCTTACCCAAAATACATAAGTAACTTAAATACTCAAATTTATAAAACTAAAAATTATTCCCCAAAAGATATGAACAGGTAGTTTTCAAAGGAAGAAATCCAAGTCATCAACAACCATGTAAAAAAAATACTCCAAATCACTAATAATTAGAGAAATTGAAGGAAATCCGATATTTTACTGCATGTACATCTTATAAACATAGATGACAAAAGAGGAAAATAACAAATATTGGATAGGTTGAAACAGGCACGTTTTTTGTACCGTTGGTGGAACTATGAATTTGTCCCGTTGTTCTGGAAAGCAATGGAACTATGCTAAAAAAAAATTAAACTAAACTGTGGATACCCTTTGAGTTAATGATACCACTATCCCATACACCCAAAGAGATCAAGAGAAAGCGAAAGGGCCTATATGTACAAAAATACTCATAACAGTTCTTAGTGTAGTAGTACTAAACTACAAACTAAGGGGGTACCCACCTATTGGGGAATGGCTAAATAAATTGGGGTACATGAATGTGATGGAATATTACTGTGCCATAATAAATGAAGAAATGGACAGTTTTAGAGAAAACTGGGAAGATCTATGAACTGATAGAAAATGAAGTGAGCAGATCCAGAACAATGTATACAATGTCAATAGCATTACAGAAAAATATAACTTTGAAACGCTAATTAATGAAGTGATAAACTACAAGTCTACAGTAGGCCTGCACAATCTGTGGCTCACGGGCCGCTTACGGCCCTTGTTGCCAAAGGATTTCAGGCAGCCCACAAAAAATTATCTCTCCATTTTTTGCAGGCCGCTTGAAATCCTTTGGTGTGCCACAGGTTTCACAGCGCTGGTCTAGAGTATTAATCATATCATCTACCTCCTGCCAGAGACATAATGGACCTAAAATGCAAAATGAGACATCTATTTTGGACGTGGCCAATGTGATAATTTGTTTTGCTGGGCAACACATCTTTGTCATGAGGGTTTGTTTTTCATTTTTCATCATCATCATCATCATTATCATTATTATTATTATTATTATTGTTATTCTGTTGAGGCGGAGAGAGAGAGAAGATAAATGCTTATAAAAATAAATATTTTTAAAAATATAGTTCGCATTACTTGAGTATATACCTTTAAGTGGTTAGAGTATATAGCTGGTAATGATCTGGATGGTAGAGGTAAGTCACAAGAATAAAATTTTAAGTATTTCATAATTCTGATCTGAAAGGAATATCAGCAAAGGAAATATGATAAGGTTTTTCCTCTTTGAACTGAGTGAGAAGGATTTTTATAATTGATGCTTTAAGTTACTTATTAACGAATAATAAGGGTAGTTACTTAAATTCTAAAGTTTATCCTAAAGGTCTTAAGACCTAAAAAAAAGTAATTTAAGGTTATACATGATAGAGAGCCTGGGTTCTAATTTGCCAACCCCTTCAGTTTACAGACGAGAAAAATAAGGCCTAAAAAAAAGGAATTTAAGGTCATACATGCATGGCAAAAATCAAAGAATAAGGGATAACTTCTAATGGTCTTTCCACCTCTAAACTAAAATATTCAAATGTAGGGCTCATTTCAGTACACCACAGGGTTCTTCATCTGGTCTTTCTTAGGGGAGGAGGGGAAGAAGGGCCAGAAATTGGAACTATCTTTTTTGGATGATATAAAAAACATCAAGATGACTACTGAGTAGATATCTCAAAGAACTCAAAAGATAGAAAGAAAGTCTTTATATATACCAAAATATTGATAGATTAAAAGAAAAGAAAAATGTAAATGTCCTTTATTTGGAGAATGGCTGAATAAATTATAGTATGTGAACATAATTAAATATTATTGCACTGCAAGAAAAGTTTAACATGAGGAATTAATACAGAATGAAGTAATCAGAACCAGAAAAAATATAGACAATGAATATAGGACTTCCGCTTCCGGGAGCCAAGATGGTGGAGTAAAAAGGTAGTCACTGTCACCCTCTCCTATCCACCTCTGAAAGCCCAGAAAATATCACCCTGGACCAGCTGAACCAGAAGAAAGACGGGGAGCAGCAGTGCAGTAACCCAGGAGCTTGAAGGATTAACGGGAAAGGCCCCTCTTGCCCTGGGGGAAGGGAAGCAGTACGGAACAGGAGGCTAACGAAAGCCCCACTTTAGCACTGCAGGAGGAGATCCTGGTGCCTTGGCCTTATACAGCAAACGGGTCTCCCAGTGCCTCAGCAAAAATAAGGGAAGCAGCACTACAAAGGGCTTCAGGCAAATAAACACCCTGCAGCATTCATCTGAAAGGAGCTGAAGAAAGCAACCTAGAGTTGCTGAAAGTTCCAGCCTTGCTGATTCCAGTCCAACACCAGGCAAGCTGCCAGAACCCTACAGACTCCAACTGCCAACATAAGAGGTCCAGCACACAAAGCCAGTGATCAAGACCTAGGCTCCCAACACAAGAAGCTTGGGTCAGTACCTTTTGCTCCCCAGCAGGAAAGCTCAATCTCTTTAAAGGTCAGGGAATAAAGAAACACCATGAGTAAAAAGAAACATACCCTCGATTCATATTATAAGAAGAGTGAAGATCAAGACAGAAATTCTGAAGAGGACAACATTGTCAACAAACCCACATCTGCAACATCAAAAGGGAATATGAACTGGTCTGGAGCCCAAAAAGCCTTCTTAGAAGAGCTCAAGAAGGATTTTAAAAGTCAAATGAGAGAGGTAGAGGAGTCCTTAAAAAGTACAATTGGCCAATTGGAAAAAAAGTACACTGAAGAAAACAAATCCCTTAAAAATACAATTGACCAATTGGAGAAGGAAGTACAAAATCTAACAGAAGAAAACAATATATTAAAAATTAGAATTGGACAAATGAAAACTAATGATTCTATGAGAGAGCGAGAATCAGTCAAACAGAAACAAAAAAATGAAAAAAATAGATGAAAACGTAAAATATCTCATGGGTAAAACAACTGATCTGGAAAATCAATCCAGGAGAGACAATTTAAAAATTATTGGTCTACTTGAAAATCATGATGAAAAAAAGAGCCTAGACAGTATCTTTCAGGAAATCATAAAGGAAAACTGCCCTGAAGTTCTAGAACCAGAAGGTAAAATAACCATAGAAAGAATCCACCGCTCACCGCCTGAAAGAGATCCCAAATTGAAAATGCCAAGGAATATAATAGCCAAATTCCAAAATTACCATATTAAAGAGCAAATACTGCAAGCAGCCAGAAAGAAACAACTTAAATATCATGGAACCACAGTCAGAATTACACAGGACCTTGCAGCTTCTACAGTAAAAGACCACAGGGCATGGAACATGATATTCCATAAGGCAAAGGAGCTGGGATTGCAGCCAAGGATCAACTCCCTAGCGAAAATGAGCGTGATCTTTCGGGGAGGAGATGGATATTCAATGAAATAGGGGATTTCCAAACCTTTCTAATAATGAATATGATAGTATGATAACACTAAAAGGCAGTGAAACTCTGACTAATTATTGGCCCTGAAGAAGAGAGTATGAAACATGCTTTCCTCCCCTTGGCAGAGAAACATGGGACTGTTGAGGAGGAAGGTTGTATACACTGGAACAATCACTGTATTAGTTGGTTTTGCCTAATTGTTTTTGCATGTCACAAATGAGGAAATGACTGATGAAAAAATAAAAGGTAAGGCCATACCTTGTTTTGTTTTGTTTCGTTTTTAAAAAAAAAATTCACTTTTTATCGTGTTTCATCAATGTTGTATTTTTTACAAATTGATCATTTGTAGCAACCCTGCATCAAGCAAGACTACCAGCACCATTTTTTTCCAACAGAAGTGCTTACATAATGTCTCTATGTCACATTTTGGTAATTCTCTCAATATTTCAAACATTTTCTTCATTATTTTATCTGCTATGGTGATCTGTGATCAGTGATCACTGATGTTACAATTGTAATTGTTTTGGGGTGCCGCAAACTGCATCTACATAAGGCGACAAACTTAATTGATAAATGTGTGTTCTGGCTCTTCCACCTATCAGCCATTCTCCTATCTCTCTCCCTCTCCTCAACCTTCCTATTCCCTGAGACCCAACAATACTGAAATTAGGCCAATTAATAACCCTACACTGGCCTCTAAGCGTTTAAATGAAAGGAAGAGTTAATCGATGCAGCAAACTTCATTGTTGCCTTAGTTTAAGAAACTGCCACAGCCACCCCAGCCTTCAGCAGCCACCACCCTGATCAGTCAGCAGCCATCAACATCAAGGCACAGCCCTCCACCAGCAAAAAGATTATGGTTCGTTGAAGGCTCAGATAATGATTAGCATTTTTTAGCAATAAAGTTATATATATTGGGTTTTTTTAGACATAATACTATTACACACTTAATGGACTACAGTATAGTATAAACATAACTTTTACATGCACCAGGAAACCAAATAATTCATGTGACTCGCTTTATATTTGCTTTATTGTGTCGGTCTAAAACCAAACCCCCAATATCTCTGAGATATGCCTGTATTGATCATTTTTTTCAAAAGATAAATGATAAAAATGTAAAGGAGATAGGAGTAATGTTTTTAAAAATATAATTCCTGGTGTTGGTCTATAGGAAAAACTCCACAATATACATCTGCAAAACAGAACAAATATAGTGATTTAAGAGAAACAAACAATACATTTTCTAAGTCTCTTTCAATTTCCATGCCTTGGTTTTCAGATTTAATAAAAGCTCCTCAATCACTGTATCAACTGGCTTAAAGGTACACAGTGTCCAATGCTGGTAAAACTAAAATACTATATACAAAACCAATATACAGGGGTAGGATGGAGTAAGAAAGTGACCTATGACCCCACAGAAAATTAAACTACCTTGGGTAAATGTAAACAGCAAAAAAAGCTCCAACTATCCCATGGGGAAATTTGCACATGACCATGGGCCATCCTTGGCATCCTTGTCTCTCAGAGGGTATGCCACCCTACAATTGGCATATTTAGGGTAAAACAGATATGCCCCCTTACATTAGGCCTAGTTGGAAGTATAGTCTGCCTCCTTACATCAACTAATATTATATTCAAAATAATTCTGGAATCATTTGAAAGGGAACATGGTGTTACCAACAAAAGCAACATCAGAAAACCTTCCTACTCAATGAACCCCAGACCCTCCATGTAACCTCCAGGATCAAATACAAAATGCTCTGTTTGGTATACAAAGTCCTGTATAACCTGGTCCCCTCCTACCTTTCCAACCTCCTTACTCCCAACATATTCTGTCATCTAGTGACAGTGGCTTCCTTGTTGTTCCTGAAACAAGATACTCTATCTCCTGACTGAGCATTCTTACTGGGTGCCTCTCTTCCCATGCCCGGCATTCTCTCCTACCTTATCTCCTTGAGCTGGCTTGCCTGGCTTCCTTCAAATCCCAGCCAAAATGCCCCCTTATGCCAGTTCATTCTCTCTGTCTATTATCTAAAATGGATCCTATGAAAAATGAAGCCTCTAAATCAGTTGATAGTAATTACTTTGATTTATTTTAGGATTAACTGTCCTTTTTTAAAGAGGAGCTATGCCAACATAAATATCCCTTTAAGCTTAACTGACCTATAGATTTAGTGAATGAATATTTTAACAAGAGTTAATAGTAGATAAGTTAGAATCAGCCTAAATATAACTTTATAGAAATAAAATAAAATAATCATAGGATTAAGCTTAGATATCACAAGATTCTTTACTAAAGGTCAAACTGCCCTTTTCAGACAGCTAGAGGGTGGATGTTGACTCTCAGCGCACCATGTTACTCCCTTTAGTAAGTTCCTTTTTCTTTTTCAGTGAGCTACATAGACCCACAGCAGAAATTCTTAAGACAACACTGAAAGATATTTCTCAAAAAAATTTACAGAAATGATAGACATGAGTTCTAAACCAATGAAATACTGAACCTAGCAGTTACCCCACTCTTGAAACTCGATGACTTCGTTATGCCCAGAAGCTTAATGTTGCAAATCTACCTATTTCTCTATAAATCCTATGAATCAGTCTGATGAAAATAGTTCGGTTTTTTCTGTTATAAAGATAAGTTCTGTAAACCTGTAAAATTGTCACTAATCACTGAGGAATTAGTTGACCTGATTTAATGAAAACTTGATGGCATTGCTATTAAATAATTTTCTGTCCAAAGTAATACATCTCAGAAATTTTCTATTTTAAATAGAAATTCAACACTTATATGTAACTTGTCTGTACATAGTTGTTTTTTCACATCATCTCTCCATTAGACTATGAGTTTCCTGAGAACAAAGACTGTCTTTTATCTTTCTTTTTCTTTCCAGTGCTTAACATAGTTCTTGGCACTTAGGCACTTAATAAATGCTTGCAACATAGAAAGTGCTTACTCAATGTTTACTGACTGACTGACTCTGACTGACCTGAGTTTAAGTCCCAGCTCTGATTCTGACACCAGATTTGGTACTTGGCAATTTCTTTGAATCTGAGTTTCCTCAACTATAAAATAAGGAACTATCTACTTCACAGGATTATTATGAGAGAAGCACTTTGTAGACCTTAAAGTGCTATTTAATTTCAAATTATTACATATTATCATTATTATCCCCTTCAATTAAGCCATAGGAAAAAATCAGTTCTAAATCATTCTATTACTCACTACTCAGCCAACAATATAATAGTTACTTCAAGTGAAATGTAGGAAAAAAATATTCTTTACCTATTCAATAGATACGGTCTTCCACTGCATGTTCAAAATTTATTTCTTTTGACTTGAAAAATACATCAAAACCGTCTTCCTCAGTTACAAAGGTAAATCGATTACCCAGGGCAAAAATTGTAAATACTGGTCCATGCTGAAAGAAATAAATTGTATTATAAACATAGTTTATTAAAGACAACTTACTATCAGTATAACTACTCTGCAAAGCATTTATTTTTAAAATACTCCATAAGACTTCAAATGTTAAAGCACAATTCCATAAAAATAATTCTGGTTTATTCTACATTTCATAATAAATTTTAAAACTGATTATGCAGATCTTATCAAGTAATAATTTTATTATAAAACACAAATTACTTTATTAATGCATGGCAATTACTTTGATATGAATTAACAAGTTAATTCTCCATTAACCATTATTAAGATACATTATTAAGACATAATCAACTCCAGATTACACAAAAACAGTTTTCCTCTTCTGTCTTAGATCATGCATTTTGATGATTATCTGCTTATTGATAAGGGTCCCAGGTACACAAATAGTTTCTCAATCTGGTACAGACAGAGAGTCTAGCTTGGGGTACAAACAATCAATTATGTCAGCTTAGGATGGTCTTTGCCCTTGTTTAGGGCCTCCGACATGCTCCAGTGTGTGGAGGGAGTCAAAGGGCCGCATTTAAGGACCTAGAGGGCCACATCTGGCCTTGAGGCCACAGGTTCCCCACCTCTGCCTTAACTTCTTCTATGTATTTATTAAATGTTAATTTGTATTACAGTTATTTGCATATATGAATATATTGGTTGGTGTCCTTCATTCTTTTTTTTTAATGGCAATTTTTATTTATTTTTTTGTTTTCAACATTTACTTCCACAAGATTTTAAGTTCCAAATTTTCACCCCATCTCGTCCCTCCCCCACCCCAAGAGGGCACACATTCTGAATACCCATTCCCTTAGTCTGCCTTCCCTTCTATCTCTCACCCTCTTCTCTTATCCCCTTCCCTTTCAATTTTCCTGCAGGGCAGGATGGATTTCTGTATCCCATTTCCTGTATTTCTTATTTCCAGTTGCAAGTGAAAACATTTTTTTTAAACATGTGTTTTTAAAACTTTGGGTTCCAAATTTTCTCCCTTCCTCCCTCCCCACCCACCCTCATTGATAAGGCAAGCAACTAAATATAGGTTATATAAGTGCAGTTATGCAAAACACTTCCATAGTAGACATGCTGTGAAAAACTAACTCTATTTTCCTTAATCCTATCCCACCCTCCCCCATTTATTCTATTATTTCTTTTGACCCTGTCCCTCCTCAGAAGTATTTGCTTCTGATTACCCCCTTTCCCAATCTGCCCCTCTCTTGTTCCCTTCCCCCCCCATTTTCCTGTAGGGTAAGACAGATTCCATACCCGATTGAGTGTGTATGTTATTCCCTCCTTAAGCAAAATTCTATGAGAATAAGACTCACTCATTCCCTCTCACCTTCCCCCATTTCCCCTCCACTGTCAGATCCTTTTCTGGTTTTTTTTGTGAGATAATCTACCCCGTTCTACCTCTCCCTTTCTCCTTCTCCTAGTATAATCCTCTCTCACCCCTTAATTTTATTCTCCAGATATGACCCCTTCATTTTCAACTCACCCTGTGCCCTCTATCTATCTATCCATCTATATCTATATATACGTACATATAATTTTTCCCCTCCAACTACCCTAATACTGACAAAGGTCTCATGAATTACAAATATCATCTTTCCATGCAGGAATGTAAACAGTTCAATCTTACTAAGTCTCTTATGATTTTCTCTTTCCTGTTTACCTCTTCATGTTCCACTTGAGTCTTGTATTTGAAAATCAAATTTTCTATTCAGCTCTAGTCTTTTCATCACGAATGCTTGAAAGTCCTCTATTTCACTGAATGACCATTTTTTCCCCTGCAGGATTATACTCAGTTTTGCTGAGTAGGTGATTCTTGGTTGTAATCCTATCTCCTTTGCCCTCCGGAATATTATATTCCATGCCCTGTGGTCCCTTAATGTAGAAGCAGCTAAATCTTGTATTATCCTGATTGTGTTTCCACAATACTTGAATTGTTTCTTTCTGGCTGCTTGTAATATTTTGTCCTTGACCTGGGAACTCTGGAATTTGGCTACAATATTCCTAGGAGTTTTCCTTTGGGGATCTCTTTCAGGAGGAGATTGGTGGATTCTTTCAATTTCAATTTTGCCCTCTGATTCTAAAATATCAGGACAGTTTTCCTGGATAATTTCTTGAAAGATGATGTCTAGGCTCTTTTTTTGATCATGGCTTTCAGATAGTCCAATAATTTTTAAATTCTCTCTCCTGGATCTATTTTCCAGGTCAATTGTGTCCTTCATTCTTGAAGAGAACCAAAATGACATCATTATGTTAGAGTCAAGGTAAGTGCGTCCAATTGTGGCTGATCTGGCTAATTTGAGCTCAACGAGCTTTACCACAAGTCAGGCACAAATAGTCCATGTAAACTTCTGGAGTGGAGATGTCTTTAAATCTGCACATCTCACATTTCTTTTGAACTATGCAATTCTGCTTCACTTGCAGAGCACAATGCTTTCTTTGATACAGGCATGCCATGCTTGGTGGTCCTTCGCCAGTGTCTCCCATGTCAGTAATCGATTCCAAAACATATATACATACATATGTGTGTGTGTGGATACATACATAATATATAATGACATCATATATTATTACTATATTATATATTATACATAATGTGTTTACATAATCTGTATTGTGAATATACATGTGTGTATACATATATATATGCATACAAGATTATGCATAAGCATACATATATCATCTCCCCAAACTGATTATAATTGCTTTGAAGGGCTGGACATGTTATATTCATCTTTATATGCCAACCTACCTCCTCACCAGTCACCAAATAGTAAGAGTTTAATAATATTTGCTTAATATTCTCAGGGTGATTATTAATAGCTTTCCTTTTGACCATTTCTCTACTCAATATTCTCAAGCAAAGAAAAATATATCTATACTATAAATTCCAAATCCTAATACTTCACCCTCAAATTGCTAATAATTTCTAACAACTCTATCAAAAACATACTCACAAGGGCCTTGTAATACAAGTCCTACAAGAGCTCATTAAAACATTCTGGCAGAACAACTCATGCCTTCTTGTAATAAAACATGGAAAACAAACAAAAAAGTAGCACACGCACACACACATACATACACACACACACACACACACACACACACACACACACACACACACTTCACATTAAGAATGAACTGACCCAGAAAAACAGCCCAGCAGGATGTAATGAAAAGGGCACTGGAAGATCCGGGTTGAAAACCCAGCTTTGTTATTTGTTACCAGTACGCCCTTACGTAAATCACTAACTTCTCTCTGTGCTTCACTTTTTTTTATCTGTAATCTGGCAGGAGAGGAAGGAAATACATGGTTTCTACGGTTCCTTCCTATTCTAAGTCTACAATCTTACAATAAAGAAAAACTGTAACATTAAATTAATGCAAAGAGAACTTATTAAGTGCTTACTGTGTACCAAGGGATACTAAAACAAAAGCAAAGAGTTCTTGTCAACAAGCAGCTTATATTCTAGTGTAGGGTTAGGGAATAACACAATATGTATAGTTACATAAATTATTAAAATTAAGTACATATTAATTTGCAAATGAACACCAACAATTATGGGGATCAAGACATGTCTCCTATCAAATATAAATTTAAGCAGAACCTGAATGGAGGTAGGAATTACAAGAGGAGAGGAAATAAAGCATTCCATGCCTGTGAAAAGACAAGGAGTAAAGAGATGAAATATATCATATAAGGAAAAAATAAAAATATCATTTTGGCTGGAATAAAGAGTTCCTGACAAACACTAACTTGAAATAAGTCTAGAAAGATAAGATGGGCTAGATTGTGAAATATTTAAATATTTCTAAAGGAGTTTAAGAAAAAATAGAGAGATATGGACAGACCCACAATTCAAAAATAGCAATTTGGTAGTCTTGTGGTATCCTTTCTCCCCCCTGCTCCCTTTTCAGTTTCTTTTAATGTGTTATTTTCCTCCTACTGATTAGGATGTTCTGAAGGGTAAGGACTACCTTTTGCCTTCTTTTTAACTCCAAGTGCTTAGCACAATGCTAGGCAAATAGTAAGCATCTAATAAATATTTACTGACTGGCTGGTAACTTATCAGAAATAGGGAAGATGGGGAGAGACTGTGTTCCACTGTGGACAAGTTTGAGATACCAGCTTTTTGCCTCATTTATGACTCCTCTGATCACAGAATCTGGAAAGAGACAATATTATGAAGGAGTGAGCTATGGCGCTTCTTCTCCTCTAAAACCTTTTGGTCCTTGGTCTCTGTAATTCTTGTTTTCCCTTTTAGGTGAAAGAGCCTGGAACCTCTGATCTTATGAGCAGATCAATATTGTAAAGTACATCCAGTGCAGTCTCTATGCCATGAGGACAAGGGAGCCCAATGAAACCTGATTGATCTGACAGAGGTGCTACCACTGCATGCACACTTGGTGGACCAGTACTATATAAGAAATGAGCAGCGCTTACTCAGGAGAATAGAATAAAGTCATTCCCTCAAGGTGTTGGGGAAAATATCTGTATGTTGGTTCTTGCTATATCATTGAAATAAATATGTCTTTGCAAAAGCTAAGGGACATTCAGGTAGACATGTCCAATAAGCAGTTCTTAATGTAGGATTAGAATTCAGGAAAGAAATAACAGTAATAGTAATTTCACCTTTTGTAAAGCTACTCATGCTATACTTGTGGATAGATAGAGAGATGTTGAGCTAGGTAACAGTACAGCTAGGTAGAATCACATACAGTTGAATGGTTGGATACAAAAAGTAGTTACTAATGATCCAGTGTCAACTTGGAAGGTCTTCAACATAGTCCCTTAAAAATCTATGCCTTTTTTTAGTTGTTTCACTTGTGTCTGATTCTTCATGACCCCATTTGGGGTCTTCTTGGCAGAGATAGTAGAGTGGTTTTCCATTTCCTTCTCTGGCTCATTTTACAAATAAGGAAACTGAGGCAAACAGGGTTAAGTGACTTGCCCAGGGTCAAAAAGCTAGGAAGTGTCCAAGGCTGGATTTGAACCCACAAAAATGAGTCTTTCTGACTGCAGGCTCAGCACTCTATACAACGTGCAACCTACCTGCCAAATCTGTGCCTAGCCCTATGGAATTTATTAGATGTTTTCTTAAATTAAACTTTTCTTAATGACTTGAATAAAGAAATGATGGCATGCTTACCAAATTTGCAGATGACACAAAGCTATAATAAATAATTAAGACTCTAGCTAATGCAGTTAGGATTCAGAAAGATATTGACAGTCTGGAACACGGAGCTGGATCTCACATAATGAAATGCAATTTGGATAAATATTAAATATTATGTATAAGTTAAAAAAAAAAAACTTTGTTAACAAAAGCTGGCAGTTAGGGAGCCAGACAGCAATTTGTCTGAAAAAGGTCTGTTAACTTTTGATGTGGCAGCTAAGGAAGTTAAAGCGAACCCAGAATCATAGGACCTTAGACCTCGAGCTGAAAGGGGCCACGGATCCAAGACTACAATGAAAAGCCTAGTGTCTAGGACGTGGGGAGGGGAGAAATAAGAGCTCTGGGCACATTCTCTAAAGGACATTTGTAAACAAGTATTTCATTCTTCCTATCTCTCAGATTCATAACCTTAGCACTGTACCATCCTTTTCACTCTCCTCCATCCCACACATCCAATTAGTTGCCAAAACTTGCTATAGCTACATTTACAATATTTCCTCGATCTGATACCTTGTGCATTTTTACATTGACCATTTTAGCTCAGGACTTCATCACTGTTTGTCTAGATTAATAAAACAGGGGCCTCATAATTGCTCTCCCTGACTCAAGTCTCTCCCCACTTCAAACCATCCTCTACAATGATGCTCATACTGCTGATTTTCCTTGAGTGAAGAAGTGATCTTTTCAAATCTCACTACCCTCCCCCCACTCCCCCATCCCCAAATAAATTCCCATGGCTTCCTATTGCTTCTAAAATAAAATTACTTCCCTGTTTTACTTTTAATGTAACTTCATAACCTCTCTTTCCAGTCTCATTGGTATCCCCTTACTCAGAAATCAAGTAAAATTAGCTTTCTCTCTCTTCCTCACACAGGACAATCCATCTCCTGTCCCTATGTTTTAGCACTGGCCTGGAATGTATTCCCTCTTCACCACCGCCTCATAGAATTCCTCTCTTCTTCTTCTTCTTCTTTTTTTTTTTAAGGCAAATGAGGTTAAGTGACTTGCCCAGGGTCACACAGCTAGTAAGTGTCAAGTGTTTGGTCTGAGGCTGGATTTGAACTCAGGTCCTCCTAACTTCAGGGCCAGAGCTCTATCTACTGTGATACCTAGTTGCCCCCTCCTCTCTTCTTTCAAGATGCAACTTGATCACCACATCCTTTTGTTGTTTTTCAGCTATGTCCAACTCTCTATGACTCCATTTGGGGTTCTCTTGGCAAAGACACTGGAGTGGTTTGCCATTTCCTTCTCCAGCTCATTTTACAGATGAGGAAACTGAGGCAAACAAGATTAAGTGACTTGCCCAGGATCACACAGCTAGGAAGTGTCTGAGGTCAGATTTGAACTCACTAAGAGGGGTCTTTCTGACTCCAGGCCCAGCAGTCTATTCACTGCACCACGTAGGTGGTCCTCACTACATCCTATATGAAGCCTTTTCTGATCTCTCCCCCTCTTAAACTACTTTATATTTAACCATCTTGTGTTTATTTGCATTTATTCTCTCTGTGTTTATTCTGGATATCCTTAGGTATTATTTCATTTATTGTATTTGTATCCCCACAGCCTAGCACAGTGCTTGACATATAGTTGCTGTTTTAATAAATACTTGTTAGTTTCTTGATTTATTGAAGATAGAAACTAAGGCTGGATAGTAAGTTATCTTAAAAGCTTAAGGAACTGTGATAGATTACAAGATTGATAAGACTCACCAGTGTAATATAGTAGCAAAAAAAAAATTTAAAAACCCTAATATGACCTCAGGTATATTAAAGGGAGGCATAGTGATGAAAAAGATGGAGTGAGCATCCTATTGTATTGTATCTTGGTTAGAAAGTCATTTAAACAGGCTTGAGTTTTCTTATTGGCAAAATGAGGGTCCTGACTAGATTATTTCTAAAATGTTTTCTAGCTATCAATTCTATAATTTAAAAGGTTTATATATATATGTATATGTGTGTATGCATATATATATGTGTGTGTGTGTATATATATGCATATATATATATTATATATATGCATATATATATATTATATATATATTTGCTTAAATAAGGTCAAAGTCATCACTGACAGATTATTACATTTTGGCAGTTGTGAACCAGTTTTGATAAACCATTTGGAATATGTAAGAAATGTTGCTAATTTGTTCCTATTCTTTTTTGATGCAGAAATCACAGTAGCTAAATTTAAAAAAAAAAAAACAACAAACTTCCTTTCCATTAGTTTTTTCTTTTTGTAAATTAATTGATTTTTGAAAACCAACAACACTCATGCCTGGTCAATAGTGTCCACTCTTTAGTCCAGAATTTATAACTAACCCTTCATATCCTGCATCTTACCTACCTCTCATCTCAGACTCATTTTATACTAATTCCCTCACCAAGGTCTCCATGACGACAGGATCAATGTCTTACATCACCTTCTTATCTCCCCCCATATCTAGCACAATATAAGCACTGAATAAACTACTGAATCAAATAGCTCAAAAGCCCAAAGAAATACTGGAGTCATCACGAAGTATATCAGAAACAAAACAGAAAATGTTATTTTACCCAGAAAATGGGGGTAGAGGGAGTAGAGTCTGTACTTACGTAGGCACTGAGTTTAGTTCTGAACACCATACCTCAAAGAAAGAAACAATGAATCTGGGAGAAGTCCAAAGAAGAGTAACTAAATTATCAAAGAAATAGAGATATTTAGATATGAGAACAGGCTAAATAAAATTTAAAATGTTTAAGCTTAAAAAGGCAAAGATGGAGGGAGAATATGAGCTTATGGAGAGGGTGAATATATACTTCAGGTTCACTAAATTCCAGAATACTAGAACTGAAGGACACTAGCTTTTTCAATTTGGAAAAAAATAAAATTAGGACAAGTTTTAAAAAGATACAGCTGACAGCAACCTTTGGAAGAAGCCAGACATATTTCAGCTGGTGGGGGGTTGTGGGGGGGCCAGGTTTGCAGAAGAGTCACAGTGATTTAAGAGAAATTCCACAAAGTGTACCCTAGCTCTTCATTACAGGAAGGGATGTCTGAACACCAGGAGCATATGTAGATTAAAGAGGAGGTTGGGTCAAATGTTCTCTAAGCTCTAAGCTCTGTTCTCAGAGGTCTAACATTCACTAAATTTGTGAAATTCACTGACTCATTTGTGAAATTTTAGTTTGAGAACAACAAAAAAATGGCTCAAGTATTTCAAGAAACTTTCTACTGTCACTGGGTAGATGGAAATCATTTATGCTGATAAATAAATACAAAAGAACAAAAAGAAACTTGGGCAATAAAATTTATTTTTCAACTTCTCCCCCCCCACCCCATCCCATTACCTTGATTCTTGCTTGCTCTATAAATTCCAGATGAGCTTTTCCAAACCTGGACCCAGCTCCAAACCAAGGAATCCAGCCACTTATGCAAGGGGGTCTGTGCAGATTCCTTTGCTGATGAAATAAATAAAAGGCAGTGCACCCCAGGATTATGGCCAAGGACATTAAAAATATCTCCATTTTTCCGTCCGGCCACCAGCAGGATTGTCATCGTCGTGGCTGTCTTGATCGTTTTATAGGAGGTGGGAAGAGAGTTCGCACCTCCTAACTCGCTGGCTGCAGTCTTCCAGCACGTTGCCTTATTGACTGACAAATCAGGCCGGTGGGGGCCGGAGGGAGCCTTGGAGAAGGGGCAGGCGCGGTGGGAGGGAAACGAGCGTCTTTCGAACCAATCAGAAGGCTGGGCTTGAAAGGCACGTGAAGAGGAAAGTATAGCGGGCGGGGTTGAGAAGACTACATTTCCCAGAAGTTTTCGCGCGTTCCCTTGTATGTGTTTGCCGATCGCGCGTAGCCTCGCTTGCACTGTTGGTTCTTCTGTGTTCCGTCCCGCTGCGGGTTGGGAGCTCCGGGGGTCCTGCCAGGTGGACGAAGAGAGAATTTTGACCCTCGTGTGTGTGTGTGTGTGTGTGTGTGTGTGTGTGTGAGAGAGAGAGAGACTTGGAGCGGGGGGAGGGGAGGGTTTAAGCTTGTCCGAATGTCCTGCCAGGTGGACGAAGAGAGAATTTTGACCCTCGCTCAGAGATGGCCCAAACGAGTACATTCATACTCTTCTCCTTCTCAGATGTCGTGGCCGAGATAGTTTCCAATTCCACTCCTCTCTGGGCTTCCCTAGTGCAGGAATGTTGGGGGAGGGGGGGAAGGCTTGGTCTGAGAATGCACAACCAGTCTTAGGGGAGAAGGATGCTGGGCTTGATTAAAAGAGATCTCCACCCACCTGGTGCATTACCATTTCTCATTCATGGTGTGGCTACAAAGACCTCTTGGCTTTGGAACCAGAAAAGACTTAAGTTCAAATCCCAGCTCAGCCACTTGTCTACGGCATGGGTGTGCCCTGGACCCAATCAGTTAACCTTCCTGGGCTTTTCTTAACTGGACTTGGAAGAATGCTTCCAGCTTTAAATCTTATGAATCTTCCAGGGCTGGTGGCTCTCGGATTGGGAGACCAGGAATCAGAAGACTATTTTAAATCCCAGCTGCTTACTGTGGAAAGAGAATTGGAGTTTGAATTAGGAGACTTTGTTTCTGAACTTGCCTCTACTATATACTACCATGTCACTGGGTAAATCACTTCACCTCAGTAGTCTTCAATTGACTTTGTAATTGATGGTGTTGAAGTCAGTGACTTCAACTGAGATCCCTTTCAGTTCTAATTGTTATTAAGTAGTGACGGAGGAAAAGAACCCTAAGGTTGAAGGTGGATCTGAATTTGAATTTGGCTTCTTTCACTAACTGGTTATGTGCTGGTGGGCACATAGCCCCTTTTATGAGCATTGATTTGAAGCCAGGACTTGAGTTCAAATCCCAGGTCTTCTGCATACTATTTGTGTGCCCCTGGACAACTTAGCCCCCCAGGTCACTTGCCTTATCTGTTAAATGGGGGGGGGGGGGATTGGAGAAGATGGACTCTAAAGTGCCTTCCAACTCTAAATCTGTGATTCCAGAATCCTATGACAATGAGGGCCTTGGGTCAGACTTGATCTTTAAAGTTCTTTTCAGCCCTAAAATTTTGATATTCCAATATAGCCATTTTGGTAATGATTTCCTTTAAAAGTTAGATCCACTAGAAATAGTTTTTATAATAAACCACACACATCTTAGTGTGAATTCGTTTTTATTGACCTCTTTATGAAGCCTCGATCAAATGACAAATGGGTAAGAAAATAAGAATAAAGGTAGAAGTGATAAAGACAAATTTTGAGATTACTTTAAGGCTGGTTCTTAGAGGGTGGGAATTGGCCTAACCAAAATAGGAGCCAAAAGGTTTTCTGGACCCACTGACAGAACTTATGAACTGTGTAGTGAGTCTGCTAGGTGACCTATATTACATTCATCTGTTTAAACTAAACTAGTTTTCTGTGTTAGTCTTTTTGACAATCAAATCACCACTGTCATCCTCTGGGTACGTACTTTAGGACCATTTTTTATAATGTGGTGCTCGGGAGCAGAGCTGTAACTACTTATTTTGGTAGCTGGGAAGACCACAATTTGCCCCTCAAATCAATTTTCTAATTTATGATTTGAAAGCAATATAAAAAACAATAACAAATTCAGTTGAGTAGCAGTGAGAATTTAGTTAACATGGGGGCTCACAGATGGAATCATCTGATTGCTCTAAGTTCTAACAAATTTTTCTTGGCAACTAGGCATTATACTGCTATCAAAGGAGTTCATATGTTGATGTTTTTGCATATCCCTAAATTTCTGTTCCCAGAAATAATCTGAAATACCTAGCCCTTGTTGTATGTCTAATTTGTTGGGTTTTTTTTTTTCTCAAGATTCAACACACTTGAACAGAGTCTTTTACAAACTGGCTTCTTATAAAATGCTACTTTTTTAGGAAATAGTAGCATGACAAGATTTTGCTATATAAGAAACATGTCACATAGGAAGGGCTTCTTTTGGTTCCATGCTGGTCCAGACCATGGTCTATTTTTTAGCTTCCCTATTGTCTTGATCTCCAAATTCATTTGCTGCCTTTAACAACTTATTCATCTTCTCTTTCTGACTTTGCCAACTATTAGTACCTTTGTTGCTTCATACACACACTTCCCTTAACATTTATTACATGATGAATTTGCCATGAGCTTTGTGGCTAAATCTTAGAAAATATCGATAGTATGAAAGACCTTTTTCAAATTATTTATATTGACTTTTGAGACAACAGAACTTCCATCCCTGAAATGAAGAAATTGAGGCACAGAATTGTTGAGAGACTTCCCCATTGTTGAACATATTTGATGTTACTAGAAGCCATAGGAAGCTAAATCCCTACTTTTTCCTTTTCCTCTGAAACCATATCTTCCTTGTTTCTAGAGAGCCTAAAAATAAACCTACCTTCCCAACTTTTACTTTGGCATTTCAGGTGAGCTGAGATCCTCCTTACAAATCTTATTTCCAAGCACCAAGTGATATATGCAAATTATAACTGCTGGAATTTCCCGTTGGTTCTCCAAACAGGATTTAATGATTTTGTGTGACTCTTAATAGAGAACTTATCTAAGATGAACTCAAGTGTAGGAGTGCCTGTAGAATAGAATGGGAGGACTGACATCAACAACATAAAGCCTTGGCAGGGATTGAGTCCATGAATCCTTTCGTGAGGGCTTCAGGAAGGAACAGGTATACCCAAGGTCCTTCCAGTGTAGCTCATCGCACCTCTGTACCTATTTACTCCGCCAAGAGTCCCTTGCATGCTCCAGGGACCTTTAGCTTCTTCGAATGCCAGAGTTTGTTCTTAGTTGCCAAAAATGGGCTGCATGTTCTGTTGCATTAGGTTGGGAAGAATTTAGCTAGCAATATAGATTTTCAGTTATTTCACTGAAAATTGAAAAACCTAGACTCCTAGTCCCAATTCTAATATTTTAGTATTTTAATCTACTTAATTTTTTTCCACTTTAGGAAAAATATTTTTGTATAGATGTATTTTAATTTGACTTGTGACTGTAGACACGTTCATTTTCATGTGAATACTTAGTTGGGAAATGTTATTACTCTACAGTTTTAGATCCCCAAATGAAGTGAAAAATGTAGCTGAAGACTAAGATTGACATTTTCAGACCAGATTGAAAAAATAAAATAGAAGAGTAGAAAGTAAAGTGAAAAGATGAAAGTGTTTGTACAGAGCCTCAGTATGAGGTTTAAGGAATATTTAGGGCCCTTGATATAATTTCATCTAAGCCCTAAGTTAATAATTGTTCTGATCACTACTGCTGTAGCCCCCAAATAAGTTACTTTGGTTGTCCCATTAAATAACCAGATACTTAGTTAATAAAGTTAATAATAGTTAATAAATAATATACTGGAAACCAGAAGTACTACTAAACTGTAATGTGTAAACTCTAATGCCTCAAAATGTACAGAGGATCTCTTCCACTACTTAGTTTCCCTATTTTCTTCACTCCTTTCCCGCCCTCTTCTTTCATGTTTCCCTTTCTTCTTTCTTTGTTTATCCTTTGTTTCCTCCTCCTCCCTTCTCTTCCTCTTCCTCCTTCTTCATCTCTCTCTCTCTTCCTCCCTCTTCCTCCCCCCTTCCCTCTCCCTCCCTCCTCCCCCCATTATTGTGGGAGAAGGAAAATGGCTGGGACTTTGGCAACTAATTGGGTGTACGAACAAGAGGAGTAAAAAAGATATCACCAGCTATCAAAGATAGCTCAAAAATTTGAAACTTAGGTAACTACTAGTATGGTGGGAACCTTAATGAGAATAAAGAAGGAAAAAGAGCTGATTTGAGGAAAACATTAACTCAACGTGGGGCATATTGGAACTAATTTGCCAATGAGACAACCAGGTATAGATACCTGGCAAATAATTGGAAATATGAAAAACTAGAGATAGGGAAGGAGGCCTTTGCTGAAGATGTTGATTTGTCTGTTCATAGGATTATAGATTTAGGACTGAAGGAACCTCAGAGGTCCTCATCTGTATTGAGGTCATAGTTGAAGCCATAAGAATGGATTAAAATATCAAAGTATACAATATAAAGAGAGAATAAAAGCATAACAAAGGCAGAGTCCTCTGGAACAACTCTGTTCGTGTGTACAAGGGAGAGAAGGAGCCCAGAGAAAAGGCAAGATCAGAAAGGAAGATCAGTCTTAATTAGAAAGAGAAACAAGATCATGCATTGTCAGGGATACTAAGGGAAGAGAGTTCTAAGTGTGTGGGACAGAGACCACTACTCAAATTCAAAACAAAGACTTAAGTACCTTGAAAGCAGAAAGGAGTTTATTGCTTTCTCATGAGAAAGCGTACTACCCCTCATCGCCTTCATGGCACTGGCCAGGGAGGTCGAATACTACAGAAAGCAAGGCTTATTTATACCCTAACTCGAGTTCATCCTCCCTAACCCCCTTCCCCTTTATCCCATTGGCTGGGCTTCAGGGGGCACAATCTATTCACAGAAATCTTCCCCAGCAACAGAGTACACAGTTTGCCCAGAGACAAGAAAAGGCGGGAAGTCTTGCAGTTTAGGTTGGGGGGTAGGGCTATTCTATTCTTTCTGCTACTTGCTTAAAAACAGGGTCTGAGGGAGTT